TACGGGCCAAATCCACGAACACACAATTGTTCACACGTTTACGTTCTTACATACCGTCCATTCTGGACTTTTTCCCTTTCAGGACTTAAGTCAGTTCACCTACTCCTGCATGCTCTTTGTTCCATTCCTATTCGCTAGTTTCTTTTCGTCAAATTTCTATTGAACTAGTCTCCAGTCTATCTCAGTTACATGCTTCCATCTAGCGGCCACCACAATCATAGTACCAATTCGTTAGTTTTACACTGTTTCCTGATACATGACATGTCCAGGTTCTTTTTTGAAAGTATTTAGCCTGCTACTAGTTATCCTTACATGCCCCCTGTAGTTCGGTTATTTTTGCTATGTTTCTTGTTATTATTTACGATTGTGCACGGATATTGTCAGTTTCCCATTACTAATTCAGCTCTGGTAAGCGTTTAATATTCACTACGTATATTGCATTACCATCATATATCGCATATGTCTTATTTTATCACTCATGGACTTGGTACTGTTCTGAGGCAGTCATCACGTTCACATTTGTTACCATGTGTTATGGCCAATCTGTATACTTGCTCCCATGATAGGTATATTACTTATTTGGCGGACGACCACCTATTCTCTAAACCTTTTTTGTAACACGCCACACTCATATGTTCAGTATATGTATCGTCATGTTCCCTGGGACAAACCCTAGTGTACCAGGTTTTACTATACCATCATATGTTCCCCCTGACTCTACGTCAAAATAATCACGTATTATGCAAAAGGTTATTTACTCATCGCTGCTATATTCTACTCAAGCAAGTTCATCATCCTAACCGACCCTTGCTATTCAGGCATAGTATCACCAAACCTACAGCAACTCCACTCTAACTGTTCTATGTTATATCAGCCAACGCTGGCATGCAATTCCTCCGCCAGGCCGTACACAGGCCCACGTCTGGGGATCCTTAATTCCCCACACATACACCCCCCTTCCCATGCTGGCAGGAACATAATTAAATATTCTAAGTCCTACCGGGATAGCTCAAAGCTGACCCCATAGCTTGGTATTCCATATCCCCCTATATGTATTTTAGCTACAGAAGTCACAGCACCAATTAGCGGTCACTCATGACTCTGCCTATCCCCCATTATTGTCGCAGTATTGGTTAAACACTCTCCATGATCTCTGGTAGTGTCCTAGGATCCTCACCCTACTCACTTATAGGGATATTTGATTTATGTCCTATGAATCTTGTACCCACCATCGTAGGGTCAGGATTCTAACAACTATGTCCTCAGGTTACCTATTCATATACCAGCCTCAAGAACAACCACCCCGATTATACAGGCGTATTTCGTTCACAGTAAGTCAAGCCCAATTCCAGTTCCAACTTGCCTCCCACCATCATTTCCCTTTAGGTTCTCCAATATCTCATTCCTCTGGCAAGGAAACCCCATTCTACCCCAAGCAAGGTATGTTTACCCACCTCGCTACTACCCATCACCCGTCCCATTCTCGGATCCGGTATGTCAACTGGCGGCCTGGTTCCCAGCTATGCTAGTAACTAGCCTCATCTTTATCAATTCCGTGAGGCCAACACCCATCTTCATCCGCATATGGAGGTATACGCCCCTCGGCGGCCCATCACATAGCTAACTCCTCACATCAACCTCTCCAGGTTACGAGTTAGGGCCTCACCCAGCATGGCCTCTTATATTGACTCTTTTTACAGTCCCCGAGAGGCCAAAGTTCTAGCCACACCTTTCAGTGGCCCCTGCCCACTAGGCCAAATCACATGTAGTCAAACAGTTTATTAAAAGTCAAAATATTATTTGGGCTGTGGAGTGTCCCTTTAAGTAGTGATACTCAAGCTTCTAACATGATAGGAGGTTATGGATGGCAAGAAGGTTGTGCTAAATTTGGGATGTTTACGCACAACAGTATAAGTGTAACTCACACATGGTAAATCACTAATGTTTTTACTGTCGGAAATTCAAAGAGAATTTCAGATTTTAGACAAAAATCGTCAAATGTGAAAAATTCTCCAAATCAGATATATTTCCAGTTCCCTGTTTTGGCCTCAAATTGGAGTACCAGGAGTGCCCCAGCATCTCTCTGTTGTCTCCACTACTTTCAACAAAAGTAACAGATGCTCCTAAACTAACACTACAGTGCACCTAACCCACCAACCTACATTGCCAGGTTTAGCTTGGATGTAGAGGAGGTGGGGAACAACGTCTGGCAGATTCCAGGTTGGAATTCAAACTGTTCTAAATTGGTTTGACAGCTTACAATGTGAGTGCCAGGGAACTTCTGGGACTATAACCGCTACAGCGTACAGTAGTGGCTATGGTACTTGGAGTGTTCCTTTAAAAGAAGCACACACTTGTATGCATTACAAAATAACATACATAAAAGTTATATTATCTGTTACGATTTAAAGAATACTAAATATGACAGTGTTCCTTTTGACAATGTGCAATGACGTGTAGAAAAAAATATTACTGCTTGTATGTGACCTGTATGAAATTTATTACAGAAGGTGCCAGACTGGTTCCTGAAATTGTTTCACTTTTTTTTTTTTTTTTTCAAACCATGATTTAAAAAAAGAAATAAATGATATACATATATTATATGTGGACACATTTCTGTTTTACATTTTGTTTTCAAGCAGTTCCAGATTTCAATTATAACAACATTTAAAATGCACAAACGAATTTAATGCATTAACAACGTTTACAGTGTATTAATTAACTTGTTTTGAATTGCAAATGTATTTACAAATGTATGAAAAGATGATGGCATTTACCGTTTCCTTCCTGCTTTACAGTTTTGATCCAAAGAAACTGTACTGAACATGGCTGGTCCCCCCATTCCCCGTCGTATTTTAAAGCTTGCTTATTTAACAGCAGCTACGACACAGACGAAAAGGCAAGTAAAGGGTTCGGGCTGAGTGGGCACATTATAGCGATAAGGTCCATTTAAACGGACTATCCAGATGATTGGGTATATTTTCAAGATGAAAGATCGACTTTCATAAAACTTATCAGCGTTCCAGAGTGCATGGGCAAATAACCAAGTTAAACGCATTGATTCTCAGAGTCCTGAGTTGCGAAGGACAGATTTGAAGGATGAACGCTCAGACTGCATCCTACATACTAATCTTTCATAAAAATACAAAATACAATACTATCGGAGCACAAAAATTACGCTAAAACTAAGAATGTAAACCTTATTTATAAATATAAAAAAATACAGTTTGGTACGTAGGAAAAGCTTGATTACATTTTGGAGATGGTGGGGAAATTATTACCGATGCTAAGAAAATTGGAAGATCATTCGTGGAGGACTGACTAGCAGGAGGCAGAGGATGTGGAAAATTTGAAGAGACAGATGATTCGGACGTTGGAAAAGACTGCTTTCTATATGCTGATGGTCGTGAGAGAGTGTAGAAAGTGAAATGATTAATAAATAGGACAGTAGAGAAAAAAAAATCACCAACATTAAAGGGAAACGGACACTTTATTCTCTGTGCTGACTGGTAGGTGCTAATGACAGAGCTTTTAATAATGATTGACAGGGAGTTCAGATGGAGGTGCCCAGCTGTAGGTTGGTTACTAAATAATAGCAAACTCAAGGTACAGATGCACTTAGAGTTGAACAATGCACAAATGTTGCATATGGTAAATATACAAATGGTGAAATAACTGTATAAAATAATGCAGGACTATCAAAACAATCTTTTTTTTTTTTTTTGGAGTTGTTTTGCTGCTATAAAGACCAAAACATACTCAAAAAAAAAAAATACAGATTAGGGGACACAGGAGGCAGCATGACTACTTCATCTCATTGAAGTGGTTAAGTGGTTATAGTGTCTGGAGACCCCTGGAGCTCTACTGCCATTCAGCATTAAACTGTTTTTAAAGTTTTAATGCTAAACAAGTGTCCTCAGCAACTCATTCCCTCTGTACTGCTTGGGCTAATGAGGAAGCATTAGTCTGAGCAGCACTGGGTGGCTTTGATTGGCTGAGAGTGTCAGCTGACCACAGTTAGCCTATCACCGTGTCTTTGCAGGTATGAATCGGTATGGCTACAAGGAAGTGTTTAAACGCTGCCTTAGCCACACCTCAAACAGGGGTGGAGCTATTAGAAGTGCTGAACCCTCATTCAGTGTTCAACTGCTTGAAAATGGTTTATTACTAAATAGAAGGGGTCTCCAGGCACTACAAACAATTCAATGAGATGAAATGGTTATAGTGCCTACAGTGTCCCTTTAAGGGAATAGCGCACACATGGCCATCCTATTACCTTCTACCAGGTGCCGGATTAACATAGGGGCTGATGGAGCTATGCAGCTCCAGGCCCAGGCCCAGGCCCATGGAATAGGCCCATTTAAAAAAATTTTTAACTTTTAATTTTTCTCAGTATAAACGGAGATTACCCTGCAATACCAGCACCAGCCAGTAGGGGTCACTGTGTGTGGACAGAGGCAGTGATAGGAAGTTACAGCATATCCCTCCCTGCCTCTCTCTTCTCACTGATCCGCAAGGGAGCAGCTACACAGCACAGAGTTCAGAGAGCAGCTCCCAGCCTGGAGAGACAGCCTACAGCTCAGGGAAGTGAAGGATGGGGGGGAAAGGCAGCAGGGAAACATGGGGACACTGAGACACTAGGGGACACTGTGAGACATGGGGATGCTGAGACACATTGGGATGCTGTGAGACATAGGGACATTGGGAAATCCATTGGGACACGGAGACACTAGCGACACAGTGTCTCCATGTCTCCCAGCGTCCCCATGTCTCCCAGCCAGTGTCCCTAGTGTCTCAGTGTCCCCATGGCTCCTAGTCTCCCAGTGTCTGTTTACCCAAGTCTCTCAGGGTCCCCATGGCACCCAGTGTCCCCAAATATCTGTGTCCACATGTCTCCCAGCCAGTGTCCATAGTGTCTCAGTGTCCCCATGTCTCTCAGTGTCCCTAGTGTCTGTGTCCCCATGTCTCAGTGTCTCTAGTGTCCCCATGTCTCCTAGTGTCCCCAAATTTTTCAGTGTCCCCATGTCTATGTCCACAAGTGCCCCCATGTCTCCCAGTCCCCATGCCTCCGAGCCACTGTCCCTAGTGTCTCAGTGTCCCCATGTCTCCTAATCTCCCAGTGTATGTTCCCATGTCTCTGTGTCCCTAGTGTCCCCAAATATCTGTGTCCCCATGTCTCCCAGTGTCCCCAAGTGTCTCAGTGTCCCCGGGTATCCTAGTGACACGGTAAACACTGAGACATGGGGACACGGGGAGAAATGAGGACACAGACACTGGGAGACTAGGGGACTGGGTGACATGGGGACACTGACACTGTGATACATAGGGACACTGATGCCTGACTGGCCTTCCAATTCTTTGGACAGACATACCCCCTTTTTGGGCATGTTCTCCCCTTTTGGCAGGTTACGTGATTTGTGTCAGTGGCACACCCTTTTACCCCGCCCATTGACTTCCTGCTTCACTGGACACTGCTGTTAGGGGATATGGATTTACTTAAAAGATTAAAGCATAAATTAGAGAGAGATTAGCATAGAGTATGTGTTTTCTTATAGCTGCATCCTATGAGTTTCCCTCCAACACCATCTCCATCAGATACATGACGCTTGGGAGGTATGACTGTTTTAGTGTTTTTGATTGATAAGATTCTGTAATTAAGCCCCATCATAATTGTCAGCACCAGGCCCACTGTGCTCTTATTCTGGCCCTGCCTTCTACCCCTTACTTAATTACCACCTACAAGAAGATACCTACCAAAAGTCATTCCATGGAGAAAATGTCACGTTCATAGAAAATTATGTACATTTTCTTATGAATGGGGAGCTACTGAGTGGCTTAGAGCATCAGCTGACTACTCTTGCCAATCAGAGGGGCCTCTGCACGGCGGCACTCCACGCTTCCTGAAATTTCAGAAGACAAACGCTGCTGGGGGAACTGCAGATCCAGCACCGGAGGCAACATTTGTGGTTAAACCATTCGAGAAAGCTCACTGGGACCTCCTGGCACCAAATGGTAACTGAAGTGTTCTTTTAATTTTAGGCCTGGCTAATGTGCTCACTACACAACAACGGGGTTCCTCTGAGTATATATCTTTAGGTTGTCACGGTTTTTTAAATCAGTTTCTCAAATATTTACACGTTGTATATTATAAATTCCAGTAATATAAACTTGTTCGCTTTTATCACTTTTAATCATGTAAAAGAATACAAATACAATGGATTTCAAGAGATCTCTCATTTCCATGGATAAAAGCAATTTTTCTAAATGAGTTTAAGATTGGTGTTAACTCACAAGTACTTATAATTGGAATTTTGTGACCTTAATCGACATTCTGCTTTTACAGAAAGGCCATTTTCATGCTGTGAAAATCCTGTACACTTGTGGATATGCCGCATCGCTATCCGCCCTTGTAACCGCAATCATAATCTTCTCTCTCTTTAGGTAAGTGTGGCAGTAAAATAAGAGCTGCTGAATGATTCCTGAAAATGTATTCATGTACCTCTGGGGTTGTGTTTAAAATGAATCTGTCATGCCAGGTTCACGTTTCAATATTCACATTCAATTTCCTTTCTGAATTACATTAAAGGGATTCTTTAGTGCCGAAATGTTCTTCTGTTGTAGTAATCTCTACACCCCTCTGTCTGGTGTTTAAAATGTTAAGTGTAATAATGATTTTTTATTTATTTTTTGGTATTTCAGACATGTACCTGCCTTGTGTGGTTTTGTTAGTGTTTTTTATTTCAGGCCATGGTACTTTAGTCATCATAAATATATCTTGCAGTCTTAAATGTGCTCACTGTGACTCCCCTCCCGTCCCCCGACCCACATATTCCCCTTCCCCCCTGCCCCCTGGATCCTTATAGATTAGTTATATATTCTATTCTATCATTTTACTTAATACCTTTCTTTGGAAAGAGAGAGAGAGACTCTTGTGCTCAGTGTATTTTAATTATTTTACTATTCTGTTTTTTTGTTTGTTTATTGTCTGCCCAAATGGGGGTTGCGATTTTGTATTTCCTCCCTCCTCGTTTCTGGTCCTCGGCTCTTTCATCTGAGCCAAGTTATTTAGGAAGAGACACTTGTGTTATCTGGACTGGAAACTGGGGCTGTAATAATGATTTCTTGACTCGTTTCTAGCGCCGAATGACCTCCGCCGCGGTAAACCACTATGTGGTATGTTTAGAATGAACATACATACTTACAAACTGTACGTTTATGACCCTATATATTGCTTGTCCCTTCTAAATATATAGGCATTGTATGATATGGGTATAAAACAGGATGGGAGGGTTATGGCCTTATAGATGGATGATGTCGCAATGGGAGGGGGAAAGGAGAATAGAAAATGTAAACGTGGCAAAAAGACCAAGAACAATTGTGGGAGGAATACTGAGCAAACAGTGAAAGGCTTTACAAAAAACCCCAAAAGAATTGGAAATGCAAAATTACTTAAAATAAAAATAGAATAGAAAAAAAATGTAATATAAAGCCTCAGCGTGCTATAACCTGGACAGAAATATACAGACATAGATATTAATTAACACAAACAGAGTGGAATTGAAATAAAAGACTTTCAGGATGGAGTATGCTACACAGGAGTGTTTATATACGGCTCCCAAAACCAGAATCATTGACACAGAAACACGGCCATATTATTTACTAAAATTAAAATTCAGATTGAATTTCAAATTTAAGGCTAGGGTAGCTGTACAGAAAGCATAGATGGCTGTTTTACCTTAAATTTGAAATTCACTTGGAATTCTCACGTTAGTAAATAACACTATTTTAGTTTGCAGTATTCTAGAATTTCCACTCTTCAGAACACGAATGAGTAAAATGTGGAAAAGGCACCATCTAGTGGGCAATCTATTTTGTTTGTTTGTTTTTGCAGAAAATTCCAAATAAAGGCTTGGTCAGTTTTTGGTCAGACACCTACACTTATAATCAAAATTTTTCAACCCTCATTTAAAATTAAATTTATTGTCAAAATTTACAGACTTTCAACTTTTTGCAATCAGCAAATCAAACAAAAGCAATTGAAATAGCTCAACACAAGGAATGCTTGAAGTGGTTTCCCCATATTCAACTGAAAATGCAACTTATAATGCGTTAAAGATAAATTCTCCAGTCACAAAATGATTCAACGCCATGAATTGAATCCCAGCACAAATATGCAAAACAAGTGTTGTCTCAAGCAAACCTGATGCAACTTATCAAGGGCTTCATTAGTTGCACCATGTGTGCTTGATGTGAAACACTTAAAATACCTGAACTGACAAGGGGTTTGATGAGTGTCATGTTTGACTGCATGTTAGAAATACGGCTTAAAAGAATGGCCCACAAAGTTAAGAGAAGAGATCATCGTCATTCACAAACACGGAACAGGATACAAAAAGATAGTGAAGGCACTGATTGTTCTTAGAGACACTGAGGGAAGCATAGTTTGCCAGTTCAAAGTTGAAGGAACAGTGGTTGCACTGCCTGGACGGGGCATAAAAAGAAGCTATCAATGGCTGCAACCAAATTTCTGAGAAGGCAGGTTGTGAAAAACCCTCGAGTGACTGCAAAAGACCTTCAGCAAGACTTGATGGCAACAGGCCCTGAGGTTTCAGTGAGCAAAATAAGGCGCAGACTGACCCAAAAGCACAAGAAAAGTTGGTTCCAATATGCTTAAAATCATATAAAGAAGCCACAGAAGTTTGGATGTTGAGAAAGCACCAGGTGGGGTGCAAAACGTGTCCAGAGTGTCAGGGTGTCACCCATTTTCTGGGTGGTCTTCTTAGGTGGTCTCTTCTCTGAACAGTAGCTGCAAGTATTTCAATCAATCAGTATTTATATATTTTTTCTTTGGATACTGTTATTTTACACACTTGATACTTATGTACATAAATGTACACATTTTGTAGATATTGGAACTAGAGGACTACTGTTACAGTGTGATACCATGTGTATTTATTTCTATTACTTTTTTCAATAAATGTGCTACTTTTTCATTACCTTTTTTTTCATTTGTGGAGTGTTTGGATTTACCAATGTTTGCAGACTGCTGTGGTTTTTTTTTCTGGTTATATTTTTGTATATTTGGGAAGAGTCCAGCACCGAGGAGTTAATTCTAATTCCTATTAGTCCTGATTCAGCCTCTCAGTCAGATTTATTATTTTTGGAGCTGCGGCAAGCCTTCTTGAGTGAGGGATCCCAAATCACCAAATTTATAAAAATAACCAAACTGGAAACATTCTCTGACTTGGCAATGCTGTCAGTTTGACTACCCTGGCCTTAAATATGAAATTCACTTTAGTAAATAACTGTGTTGGTCTCATTTTTAGTTTTAGTAAAATCCACTGGATAAAAGGGTGCAAAAAATGAGCCCACCGCCGTATTGCATAATATATATTTACATATTTTCACCTTTTAATGAGGCTAATTTTGGTTAGCATTCGGCCGAATCCCAACCAAACAGAATCATATTTCACCTTTCAAATTCAGTTGATATATGCATTTTTGGGCCTTCGATTGCGTATTTTAAGCATTATGTCCGGCTGACCCCTGGTATATTTCTTTATTTGTGTGATGTCTTTCTTTTTTTCTCCTCTAACCATCTATCAGCTCTTTTTTTGGCGCCATGGACAGAAACTTTTAATCGCACAGTAAACTAGCCTATTCGCCCACAGTCTGTCATTTTTTTTTTTTGGTTGCTACATCCATGGACACTTTAGAGTTATGGAACTTGTACACATTCACGAACAGCAAAAACTTGTATTTATAGCAATCAAGGAGATGTAGTCCACAACATCATGAGTGCCGAAGGTTGCCTATCCCTGTATATAATTAGTATGTGTGATGTGGATGTTGAGGTGTTAGGTGAGATGCAGGGTGAGATGATTAACTGATGTCAATGGAGCCATGTAAAATAGTTTGCATCATTTAGGCACGCGTAGCCATCTGTAAATGCTTCCTCATGCTGTGCAGGTCATACAGATCCAAATATATCATTTGCACAGTTTGAGCTAAACCATCCACACAGAGATTACAAAATCTGTGCGCAAGAAATGGATATTTGTTTGTGTTTGTGCCCCTGGTCAAAAACAGCCAGTCCTCTGCTGTCAAACTACATTCAGTACGTTTTCTCTAACCATTTTCACTCCTGACAAATGACAATCTACATCACGTTTGCAAGATAGAATGTTTGTGCTGCTCTGAAAAGCAATGTCTTCATTTAACCAAAGCCCTAATTTTAAATGAACAGAGTCTTTAATTTGAAAATAAGGATTCTAGACTCTTATTTCCTACGGCTGTTCATTCCTTGGAATATTTTAGTAAAATGTCACGTCTCTTCTCTGTCTCTCCCTGTGGTACCTCATGCAGACACTTATTCCAGGACTGTGATTTTACATTAGTTTGCTATAATATATGTGAAGTCTCCGGTGTATTGAGTAATGAGCTTAGGGCTTGCATTCAGACTTTTGGGCCAGATCATTGATGAGAACATCATGTTCCCTGGAATTCTGTAATGAATATCACCGGCTCTTGAAATCCAAATATAGATCATTCTTTATTACCAGGCATAGTTTGAAGGAAATAACTATCTATATGGTGTATGACTGTTGTCATCGGGACTTCAAGGGCAGATGGGCGCCCTGACATCATGTAGTGACTCAACATGACCCAAAGCAGAAACCACCTGCCCAAACGAACTGATTCATTTGTCTTATCATCTACATTCAAGGATTTATAAATAGGCAGATTAAGGCCCAAAGTCAAGTTCATATAATAGTCTAGTCTGACATGATAGGAGAACATTGTCAAAATAAGGGAACAAAGTTTAGAATTGCACAGCCGCACCAGCCCAGGACGTGCAGTTGCCAGGAGACCGTCATGAGTGGAGCGCACTGCACAGTGCTCTCCTTCTGCCACTCTCTGTATGTAGCGTGGGTGACCGGACCATGGTATGACAGAAAGTGCTCACTGAGAGGGCACTTCCTGTCAGACCGGGTACCGCGGTCCTCCCACGGAGCTGAACAGGTACAGGGAGTGGGGGAGAGACACGAGGGGCTGTGAGGAGTGAGAGAGACACATGGAAGAGCTGGTGGATGGGAGAGACACATGGAATAGCTGGGAGGTGGGAGGCACATGGAAGGGCTGGGAGAGACACATGGAAAGACAGGGGGGGAATGAGACACGTGGTGTGGTTGGGGAAGTGAGACACATGGGGGACCCCAGTACAATTTTTACACAGGGCCCTGTGGTTTCTAGTTACGCCTCTGCCTGTAGTCCTTACTTGGTCAGAGGAAATAAAGAAATGAATTGTAATAAACCTGGTCTTGAGCTTGCTGGCACCGCATCTCTCTAGACCACTGAGTCCTTTTAGTCCAGAATTTAGATAAATTCCAGATCTGTTCCAGTGGGTGACACGGACAAAGTTGGATCTTGAGGGTGAAACCCACTTATCTAGTGGGTCCTGACAGACTACAGGGAATCATGTGAAAGGCATTTTACCTGCACACTTTCTAAAATCTCTAGTTCTATAATAAAGGAATGGAGTACTCTCTATTTATACCACAGTACGCTCTGTGCATGTTTATTTCCTTCCTTATTTTTTTACAAAAACTCATGTAGAAATCTGTCTCAATATTTGCCTCCAAAGATTACAAAAGTTATACAAAGATAAACACACAACCACAGTATGAAAATTGAAAAGTACAACAACAACCCAACTTGCTTTATATTTGCCCCATCTCTTCTGACTGCCACGAAAGATTACTTTGAACGTCCATGTGGCTATGTCTTGGTAAGATATTGCCATATACCTTTTGGACTGGCAGGTGTCAGACTCTGGCAGCGTTATTTACTACAGTGAGAATTGTTGGGGAATTCAAAGGTAAATTTCAAATTTAGGCCCAAAATAGCTAAACTGGGAAAATCCTCCAAGTCAACCAAGCTTCCAGTTTGGCTTCTCTGTCCGTAAATGAAAAATTATCTTTGATTTCCTGACAAATTCTCATTTAAAATAAATAATCCAGTCTATACAATATCGGTGTGTAATACAAGATACACTGTGGGTTTAACCACGTAAAACCCACCACAAAAGAAACAAGTAAAATACAGTAGTGTAGAGCGCAGAAAATAATATATATTCTCAGTGTATCCCAGTAATCTTAGATATAAACAATATATACATCTATCACAGAATAGAGGGTATGTGTATAAAATCCATATATTGTTTATATCTAAAATAATCCAGTCTGCCTACTCCTTTACATGTTTTGCATATAATGATTATAACAAGCAGAGTATGGGTTTTACTGTCTGTGTTTCTCCTCGCTGTCCCACCCTTTTGAAAACTGATTCTTTCATTGAATTGCATTGTTGAGTAACAGTAACCCTGCACCACCCACATTGTTATGTTCAGTGTCATGTGTATCTCACCGTTACGATCTTTTCATTAAGATTCCTAGTATATCACGGAGTAAGCCCCACCTGCAGAGACAGCATGAATTTGTGGATCTGCCAGGGCTGAATAGACAGGACATTTAATGCTGCCACAAGGTCTATAGGGAACGTATCGTGATGATGCCATTATGTAACATATGGTCCTTAAGGGGGTTAATTATTTGAAAAGCCATTCGAACTCTGAGCTGGACCGATGATGCACAGGATTAACCCATTCGTTGCTACCATGGGCCGGCAGCAATAGTTTATTTAATTTTAAAAATGCATATTTATTTGTCAGTATTTTAAAAGGTTTGTGTTTTTTTTTTTCAACAAAAATAAAAATACAGTCTTTCTCAAACCGATTTATAATTGCAATTTTGTCTACCCGATTTTGGTGATATACATTTATTTAATTTTTTTGTAATTGCAGGAAGCTGCACTGCCCCAGAAACTTCATTCACATGAACCTGTTTGTGTCTTTCATCTTACGTGGCGTTGCTGTCTTCGTAAAAGATGCGGTTCTTTTTGCCGATGAAAATATTGATCATTGCACCATGTCCACAGTAAGACCATGGATGGAAAACTGTATGTATTTTGGGAGAGACTATATATTTATACTGTACGCTACACAAGCTCTGCGCACATCCGGGACCTAATGAGCATTCGTGCTGAGCACTGCAATCGCATTAGGACAACCCCATGGGAAAATATTGAATTAATGCTTTCTTATGGGGTTTTAGCTAGGACTGGTTGTTAGACCAAAAGTTGCCTAACAACCTGGAAGCACCTCTAGTGGCTGTTTGGTAGAAGATGCAAAACCTGAGGATTTGCTACAAATTGAAGGCACACTCTGGATCCCTAAGACACTTTAGCTTGCTGAAAAAAGTGTGAAGAGTCTGTCCTCTTTTTTTCATTTTCCAAAAAGTACTGATATGAATAGAAATTGACACTTTTATAAATTAACCTTGTTACACACCCCTGGCTGTCAATGAGACAACATATCCTGTTACTTCCTGGTTGTTTAGCTCAATGGAGCTCAACTCCAGAGACAGCAATTGCCCAGAGCACCTGTCTTGCATAGACTTCTCATTGAACTGCATTGGGAAGTCTGTGATTGGACAGCCACATAAAGTCTGGGTGGGGTTAGAAGAGGAGGGCTTGTAAAGGCTGCCTACAAGAGATCTGCAGCTTTTGCAAGCTGTTTTTTATATTTGTTTTTACTTGGACATTCCTATTCAGTAATTTTAAAATTGATTTAAAAAAAGGGATGCCAGGGTAGGGAAGAGAGAAAGTGTGGTGTGTCTCTAAATTAAAAGAGGTTTACTTGGGAGGTATGTTATGACACCAGTGGGAACTTGCCTATTGAAATCAAGTCATACCCATTGGCTGCAATAAAACTCTGTTTAACCATCATCACTACTATCTCCATAATCCACTCGTATTGATCATTTTCACTACAAGCTAACTATAACACACTGTCTCGTTCCAGGCAAGCTGTAAATCCAGTATGATATTCTTCCATTTCTCTGTCCTTTCAAACTTCTCCTGGTTGCTGGTAGAGGGGATGTATCTACACACCTTACTTACCTTGACTTTCACTTCTCAGAGGAGGTATTTCTGGTGGTATATCGTTATTGGTTGGGGTGAGTGTCAATTTTGTTTAAAAGTAACAAATGCAATTATTGTAGCCATAGGTTTTGTTATTATATTGAATTAATTTGTAAATTAAATAACACTAAATTAGCCGGTACAGCTGGTGTAACTGCACGGTTGAGGCCCATCAGGGACAATTAGGGACACTCGATGGGTATCTCCGATCATGTGCCTAGCTGGGCTCTAAAAAGGTACCCAAAATGAATTATCACACCAGGGCCCTCTATACTTTAGTTCTGCCACTGAGAAGATAGCTTATACTGAGAAACTGAATAATGAAATGGAAATATGACACCCCCAAATCATGTAAGCTGTAATTTGCCTTATTATTATTATTATTATTATTATTATTATTATTATTATGGCAGTTATGTTATTAGGTCATATTATTAGGTCTTAAGTCAAGTGTGCTTTACTCAAGTAAGCCAAGTCCAAAATTAAATAGAAATAACTACAGGATACACTTCAAAACAGTATTTGTCTTTCCAATGTTTTCCAAAGACAGAGTTAGTGTTTGGTTCCATTTGACCCAGGTGGTACTTTACGTGGGTTAAAAATTGTCTCCATAGCTTCAACAGTGCACCCATACAGTTGCAAGAAAAATATGTGAACCCTTTGGAATAATATGGATTTCTGCTCAAATTGGTCATAAAATGTGATCTGATCATCATCTAAGTCACAACAATAGACAATCACAGTCTGCTTAAACTAATAACACACAAAGAATGAAATGTTGCCATGTTTTTATTGAACACACCATGTAAACATTCACAGTGCAGGTGGAAAAAGTATGTGAACCCTTGGATTTAATAACTGGTTGAACCTCCTTTGGCAGCAATAACTTCAACCAAACGTTTCCTGTAGTTGCAGATCAGACGTGCACAACGGTCAGGAGTAATTCTTGACCATTTCTCTTTACAGAACTGTTTCAGTTCAGCAATATTCTTGAGATGTCTGGTGTGAATTGCTTTCTTGAGGTCATGCCACAGCATCTCAATCGGGTTGAGGTCAGGACTCTGACTGGGCCACTTCAGAAGGCGTATGTTCTTCTTTCTAAGCCATTCTGTTGTTGATTTACTTCTATGCTTTGGGTCATTGTCCTGTTGCAACACCCATCTTCTGTTGAGCTTCAGCTGGTAGACAGATCCGTCCAGGCCCTGACGCAACAAAGCAGCCCCAAACCATGATGCCCCCACCAGCATACTTCACAGTTGGGATGAGGTTTTGATGTTGGTGTGCTGTGCCTTTTTTTCGCCACACATAGTGTTGTGTGTTTCTTCCAAACAACTCAACTTTGGTTTCATCTGTCCACAGAATATTTTGCCAGTACTGCTGTGGAACATCCAGGTGCTCTCGTGCAAACTGTAAACGTGCAGCAATGTTTTGTCTGGACAGCAGTGGCTTCCTCTGTGGGATCCTCCCATGAAATCTATTCTTGTTTAGTGTTTTACGTATTGTAGATTCGCTAACAGAGATGTTAGCATTTGCCAGTGACTTTTGTAAGTCTTCAGCTGACACTCTAGGATTCTTCTTCACCTCATTGAGCAGTCTATGCTGTGCTCTTGCAGTCATCTTTACAGGACGGCCACTCCTAGGGAGAGTAGCAGCAGTGATGAACTTTCTCCATTTATATACAATTTGTCTTACGTGCACTGATGAACAGCAAGGTTTTTGGAGATACTTTTATAACCCTTTCCAGCTTTATGCAAGTCAACAATTCTTAATCGTAGGTCTTCTGAGAGCTCTTTTGTGCGAGGCATCATTCACATCAGGCAATGCTTCTTGTGAAAAGCAAACCCAGAACTGGTGTGTGGTTTTTTATAGGGCAGGACAGCTCTAACCAACACCTCCAATCTCATCTCATTGATTGGACTCCAGTTGGCTGACATCTCACTCCAATTAGCTCTTGGAGATGTCATTAGTCTAGGTGTTCACACACTATTTCCACCTGCACTGTAAATGTTTACATGGTGTGTTCAATAAAAACATGGCAACATTTCATTTTTTGTGTGTTATTAGTTTAAGCAGACTGTGATTGTCTATTGTTGTGACTTAGATGATGATCAGATCACATTTTATGACCAATTTGTGCAGAAATCCATATCATTCCAAAGGGTTCACATACCTTTTCTTGCAACTTTATGTGCATTCACCCATACCTCCCAACATTCCAAATGGACAAAGAGGGGCACTTTAATAAGTTGTAGGGCTGTGGCTAGGGGCGGGCTGTTCGGATAAATTTTTGGTAACTTATTAATAATAATTTATGGAACTAAAATGTAATTTAGAACAAGAACAATGCAGACTGATTTCTTAACATATTAATTGTAGTTTAGAGACACATTACTGTGAGTATTATTGCTGTGGGGCTCTGTTATACACTCAGACACACCAACAATATGGAGCTCCTAAAAAAGAGGGACATTAAAATAGAAAAGAGGGACAGAAGGATTTGGGCCAAAAATAGGACCTGTTCCTTCTAAATAGGGACACTTGGGAGGTATGAGTTCACCTGGTGAAATGAAGCAGTTGGCAGCTGCAACATGCCCTCCTCTTCCTTAAAAATGCCAACCAGCTCCCTTGTAGTACTTGAGCCTTGTTAAATAAGACAGATCAGGTTGTTGCCTAGGGCATGGGAGGTCCCCCTGCCGCCTTGGATTACAATATTCTGATTATAGACGCACAGGGCAGACCTATAGCGATTCTTGCTAAATAATGCTAAGACAAGCAGGTGCCCCTCCCTCTACCTTCCAGGTGTTACCCACCTCCTAGTTAGTCTTCACTATTTATACCCATTACTAACCATGACCACCAACCTGCTCCCTAAAGTCCCCATAAATAACATGTGCCAAAAATCTTCCCTTGTTTTAACCTTTCCACTTTTTAATTTGCCCCTAACTAGTCATTGCAACCAACTTGCCCCCCCCCCAGCCCCGTTTAATCTCCAAAAAACTAACTAAGCACCATTACCTCCCTTATTTTTAAAACTTACTTTTTTAACCTTTGAGTGGTAGGTGCTTTGATTGGCTCTTTCTACCTATCTTTTCACCACTTTTTTTTTGTCCTCGCTCTTTTTTTTTTTTTTAATGTATTCTGTTTTTATTGGTTAAAAGGAAAACGAGACATGCACAGTAAATATTACATCTGAATTCACATCGAGTACAAAGGTCCAGGTTTATAGCAGTTTTTGAGACATGTGGTATTGTACACAAGAGGAAGAAGTAACAGGTACATGCTATACGTTCATGAATAATAATCAGTAATCCAAAAAAACTAACATTTATTACGGGACATACTAAAAGGAATGACAAATTGGAATGCCCATAGACTTTAACAAGGCAGTGGAATGCCCATAGAGAATAATGGAAGTAAAAGGAATGCCCATAGAGAATAATGGAAACAAAATATTTCAATTAGAGTCAAAACTATTAGACATATGAAATAAATATACTCTCCAGATTCAGCGTCAATTTTTTAAATGTAGATTAGGTGGGATTATTAATGTTTTCTATGGAATGACAAGGGTGAATGACTAAAGAGAATGCCCATAGACAATAATAGGAAGTAAAATATAAACTCATTTGCAGGGAAATCTGTGTTACATAGCAAATTCATCTTTACCACAGGTGTTCCCTAAGTACAGCAGTAGATTGTAACATTAAAAGTAACTGGGATTATAGCTCTTTTCTATCGAATGACAGTTAAATGATACAATGGAATGTCCATAGACTATAATGGGAAGCAATATGTGACTTGGAATCTGAACCGTGAAACATATCAAGTAAATCTTTTGCAGGCGGGTGGGGGCCCTAAAGTAAAATAAGGGGGGGGACCTATTGTCCTCCCTGCCCGGCCACCACCCCTGAGGGACGGGTAGGGGCCCTAAATTACAATGGGGTGGAGCTACTGTCCTCCTCCCTGGCCCCCACCCCTGAGCGGTGGGTGGGGGCCCTAAATAAGAATGAGGAGGGGGAACCTACTGTCCTCCCCCCCGGTCTCCACCCCTGAACGGTGGGTGGGGGCCCTAAATAAGATTGAGGGGGGACACCTACTGTCCTCCCCCCGCCCCCCACCCCTGCACGGTGGGTGGGGGCCCTAAATAAGATTGAGGGTGGGGGACCTACTGTCCTCCCCCCTTGTCCCCACCCCTGCGTGGTGGGTGGGGGCCCTAAATTACAATGGGGGGGACCTACTGTCCTCCCCCGTGGCCCCCACCCCTGAGCGGTGGGTGCGGGCCCTAAATAAGAATGAGGGGGGGGAACCTACTGTCCTCCACCCCGGCCCCCAGTTCTATGAACTCGATGACCAAACACCGTTGAACGCGTTCGACTGTGAAATGGAAAAATCAATTAAAAGTATTGATTATTTCTTTGTGTATCTGCCCCTGGCCAAATCAATGAAACAATGCGTGCACGCTCCCTGAAGTAATTCACACCAGACACAGGTTCCAGGTTGTTGAATAACTTGAGGAATGTTTATTCAGAGGGGACGGCAAGTCCCTTTTAAAGCAAAATTACATCATAAGCATTGTCAGAGATAACATGGAATAATACATCAATAATTGGTTAGGTGTTAAGTGGTCGCTTCAATGCTCTGCCTACTGTAGGTGATGTCACCGGGGCCATGAGGGTCTCCCACGGTTTCCCGGCGCCATCTTGGTGCACGAGGTAGTTAGTCAATGTTAGGAAGAAGAAAGGGAGGGGAGGGGGAAGGAGCTAGAAGCTTCTAGCAGCCATCTTGATTATAACATGTGTGCTTAGATATATATATATATCGTGAAATGAGTAAATAGACATTTTTCACTAACTAGGAAATATGTGTAGACCTTATTTCCACAACAGTCCCCCCTAAAATGGCTATTTACCATAACAACTGCTACTGTCCCTAGTATGTCCCTAGTTGCCTGCAACCTATCTGCCTTAACTAGCATCGAACACTTCACTCCGTGGGTAACCCGCAGTGGCTAGTCCACTACATCTCCACACGTGAGACTCGCCAGTTAAGACAGACACTTTCCCTATACTGTCCCTATAGGAAAGCAGTTGTTTGTTTGAACTGATGTGATTGAAGGGGTGTATGTGGAGTATCATCTTCGAGGTCTGTGATGTCTTGGTGTATGAAAGTAGGGGTCACGTCATCTATAGTCTTGTCCACCGCTTTCTGTAAATACTTCTGTATGCAGGGGAATATGCAACAGGTCAGAAATAAGAAAATAACGATCATTATGAGAACAGCTGTCCCCACCTGGAAGAGGGTCCTTTGCCAACCATTCATCCATCCAAACCATCTGTCCCAAGGGTCGATGACTCCTGAATTTTTCTTTAGCTCGTCTGCGAGACTATCTAGCTTCTCTATGGCCATAGTCACCTTACCATTGGGCCCAGTGTTGTCTGGAATGTATGTGCAGCATGTCATGGTCTCAGGGAGGATTTTACATACACCCCCTTTCTCAGCTAAAATCATATCTAGGGCCATTCTGTTCTGAAATGTCATTTGGGTAGTGGCTTGTAATTACTCTGCCAGGCCCTGTAGGGCATCCCTAGTGTAGTTGACAAAGCGCTGTTGATTATAGTAAATGTAGTTAATCCAATTGACATTTTTGTTAGCAGTTATCATTGGAATTAGGGACTCAAATCCTGCAGCCACTTCATCTCTTGCTTTGAATTCGTTAGGCACCCCCCTTGGCACACCTATGGCATCAATATACACATGGGGGTCGAAACTCCCTCGAATAGGAGTCTCTCGTTTGGTTCTAGAGTGTACATGTGTGAGGTTTAACGTGTTATGGTCACCATCTGGAATGATATGGATAGGCATTATGACTTTGGTTAGGGCACACTCCCCCCACCATTGCCCAATTAATTGGGACCTCAATTGTTTATCCCCACATAACCAATAGATGTCGCCGATTGTCTTTGTGTGGTTCATTAGCAGTGATACGGGTGGATTATGGTAAGTTGAGCAATATCCTGATGGGAATTTGCCCAGATACAAACCGGTGTTTTTAGATATTGTATAACATGTGTAATTACCTGGGTAGATGGTGACTCCATCAGGTGGTTTTACATGTCCGTGAGTGATCGGGTAAATTCTCTTCCACGATTCACATGTCGAAGAATTGGTGACGGACTGTGTGTAAAGGCTCAGGACACATGATTCTACTTCAGGAGGTAAATTCAGAGGAACTGTGCCCAGATGGGGCCTGGCTCCCCCACACACGTAACAATTGGTCTTATTGTGTGAGTTGGCATTATACCTCATCCATTCTAGCCATAAATTAGTGTCTGAAAAACCAGTTTCCACTGCCATAGTGTCTTCAAAGGTGGGGTTGGCTATAGCTACCATGTCATGTAGGGTCTTAATATGTGGTTTTAACGGGTTAACGATCATGTGAGTGGTCCCCACCCAGTCGGGGGAGGTGAGCATGTCTTGCAGGTAGAATGTCCCCAGTGCATTGTGTGAGCCACCTCCCTTCCAGTACATCCCCATCACATATTCCCCCGCGTCCCTTGGACTAGGGTGTTCTATATTCAAGGTAAGTTTAATGGGAGTTGACCCTGTGGGTTTACTAAGAGTCATTCTAGAAAGTAGGGGCTTCCCGTCTTTGTCAAGTCTGTCTAGTGCAACCTGAGGTCTGTAGCCCCATGGTCTACCTGTATTCCACCCGGCAGCTTTCCATGAACTACAGTGGTGTCCCCAAGCTCCTCCAGTCACACAAATGTATGGGTCCTTTTTGTCAGGTATGTCCTTGTATATGGCTGCATGTTGTGTCTGTGGGAATGTACAGGTAACTATGTCACAGTAATCAAAGGTGTATGTAGCTACATCAGTATCAGAAGAATTGTACCAGAAAGTGTAAACATGATTATCTTTGGTTATGGCCACTTGTTGGGCCCAGGCAAAATGCAACAATACAAGAAAACACAAGACACATAATAAATTCATGTTTCAACAAGATCAGCTTCTCCTGGAGCAGGCACTTTTTTGCAATGTGAAGCGTGTATCCAGGAACTTTTTCCAGCTAGCTTAACTGACGTTGCTGTAATCAGGAGCACTTGATAAGGACCATCAAATCTCGGTTCTAGGGTGTGTTTCCTGAGAAACTTCTTAACCATAACCCAATCACCTGGAAGCAGCTTGTGTGTACCTGTATTCGACTCAGGATCTGGAATAGAAGAAAACACTTGGGCATGTATCTTGGTCAAGGCATGTGAAAGGGCAGTCACATAGTCTACCATAGCGTCTGACTGAATCTGAAGCTGTTGGGGAAAGTAGCAACCTAACCTGGGTGCTGTACCAAACAAAATCTCATAAGGTGACAAACTGTATTTTCCTCTGGGAGTGTACCTTACACTGAATAACGCTAGTGGAAGACTCTCGGGCCAGGGCATGTTAGTTTCTTGTGACATTTTAAGCATTCTGGCTTTCAAAGTGCCATTCATGCGCTCTACCTTACCACTACTCTGTGGGTGATATGGTGTGTGGAATGCAAGGGTCACCCCCAGTGCTGACCAGACTTCCCGTGTTAGCGAGGCAGTGAAGGAGGTCCCTTGGTCACTTTCAATTACTTCTGGAACCCCATAGCGGCAAACAATTTCTGTCAAGAGATATTTGGCTGTAGTCCTCGCGGTGAGATTAGTCACTGGGAAGGCCTCTGGCCATCCTGAAAACATGTCCACTATGACCAATGCATATTCATAACGTCCACTCTTTGGCATCTGAATGTGATCAATCTGGATCCTCTGGAAGGGATATTGCGGCTTGGCTAGGTGATTAGGTGCAGTCTTTATAATCTTTCCAGGATTGCATTTAGCACATATAGTACATGACTTACAGTAATGCTGTGTTAAGGTGGTGATGCCTGGTGCTTCGAAATATTTGTCAATCAGTGAATTCATCAGGAGTTTTGACAGATGAGCTGGTCCATGGGCCCATTGGACCACCGCTGGGTACATACTTCTGGGTAGGCAGAACTTGAGATTAATGGTGTAAACATCATCACGGAGTATAGCTCCCTTGTTCTTCCAACCTTGTTTCTCTTGGGGAGTAGCAGCAGCTTGTTGTTCCTTCAGAAGCCTGAGGTCTGTAGGCAATGTTTGCATAGTATAGATAGGCAGTGTATCTGTGGCCACTCTTCTGTCCACTTCCCATCTTTGCCGTGCTGCTTCTTTAGCTGCTTGATCAGCCAGGTGATTGCCACGTGCTTCTTCTGTGTCTAGTCTTCCATGGGCTTTTACCTTCAGTACTGCCACCTCAGCTGGAAGTTCCAATGCGTCCATCAGCTCTGCAATGGCTGTCCCATGCTTTACTGGGGTACCAGTGGCCGTAAGAAATCCTCTGGTCTTCCAAATTAAGCCAAAATCATGTGCTACTCCCAGGGCATATCTTGAATCCGTGTAAATGTTGGCACGCAACCCTTCAGACAGTTTGCAAGCCACAGTTAGAGCTGTCAATTCAGCTTCTTGAGCAGACTTATTTGGTTGCAGGGCAGCTGCTTGTAACACTTGACATTCTGTAGTAACTGCATACCCAGTGTGATATTGCCCTTGTTCATCAGCAAATCTTGACCCATCCACAAATAATGTTTGGTCCGGGTTGAGTAGTGCAGCTTCGTAGACAGTTGGTAGATGTGTAGTTTCCATTTTCATTTGTTCAAAGCAATCATGAGGGATATCGAGGTCACAGTCTGTGGTAAGTGGACCCTCACAGGCTTCTGTATGGTACCTGGGGTACCCAGTTGTACAGCAATTAATAGTCTTTTTGTTGATTCTCGTAGAAGTCAGTTGTTCTGGGGTCATTTGACTCCAGGTTTTGGCCATCGGGCCTAGGTCTTTCCACGAGATGTCGGGGGGTCTGGTGAGAGATATGTGTGGGATCGATGTTTCCCAATGGTGATAGAGATGTGTCACACTCTCTGGGAGGTGGACCAAGATAAGCATGGTACCTGTGAGGTCCCAAAACAAGTCAGTCAGGGTAATTTGGATTTCTTTGAGTTGGAATACTTCTGCCTCGTAATTCATATCAGGGCCTGGTTCATCCCTAATCCACAAAGTGCAGTGAAGTAGGGCCATTGATTGTTCATCATGTGGAGGTGCAAATGTAGGTAGTTGCAGATTTGTTAGAACTTCCGGGTTGATATCAAGGCTGTACCAGTGGTACACAATCCCCCCCTTGGGAAGTGGCAGAAGAGTGGCCGGGTTCAGGGTTAGGCATCTCTGAAGTTTTATGTTATCAGGTAAAAGCAATGAGGTTTGCAGGCGGAGGTGGCGTTGGGAGGAAAGGTGCTTGGGTTGAACTTGTTGCAGGATAGCAGTAATGTCATGGGGGGCCAACACGGTAAGGTGATGGCCAAGCACAAAGTCATTAGTCTTGTCCAGGAGGGCACTGGCGGCAAACACAGCACGGAGGCAAGAGGGGCTGCCCCTTGCAACAGGGTCAAGCATACAGGAAAAATAGCCAATGGGCCGTTGTCTGGACCCATGTTTCTGAGTAAGGACTCCGGAAGCATGTCCTGATCTCTCAGAGACAAACAAATTGAAAGAGAGTTGGTAGTTGGGTAGGCCCAAGGCAGGTGCAGAAGCAATAGCTCGTTTCAGAGTATGGAAACAGTTAATAGTTTCTTCAGTGAGGTGAAAAGGTTCACTCCGGAGTGCATCATAGAGAGGCTGCATGAGTTTGGATGCCTCAGGTATCCAGGACCTGCAGTATGTGATGAGACCCAAGAAAGCATGAAGAGAGTGGTGGGTTGCAGGTAATGGGAGTTGAAGGATAGCTTGCACCCGTTGAGAGGTTAGGTGTTTGGTGCCATGGGAAATGCAATGTCCCAAGAAGACCACAGAGGGCCGGCACCATTGCAGCTTTGATTTTGAGGCCTTGCACCCTGCAGTAGCGAGGAAACATAGAAGATCTTCTGAGTCACGTTCTGCAATAAACAAATTAGGAGCACAGAGAAGGAGGTCATCAACATATTGAAGTAGAACAACATCCAGGTGAGATTTCTGCCAGGGATCCAAAACCAGAGACATGGCATGAGCAAACTGTGTGGGAGAATTCTGAGCTCCCTGAGGCATGACAGTCCAGGTATATTGTTGTCCTTCATGTGTGAAGGCAAAGAGAAAACGGCAGGAAGGGTCAAGGGGAACACTGAAAAAGGCATTAGCTAGATCCACAACAGTAAAAACAGTTGAATTTGGTGGCACTTGGGACAAAAGGGTGTGGGGGTTTGGAACAATAGCAGTGTCTTTAATGGTTACATCATTAACGGCACGGAGGTCCTGTACCATGCGGTACTGGTCGGGTTGGCCCTTAATAGTTCGTTTTTTAACAGGGAAGAGTGGGGTGTTGCATGGAGACGTACACTTGGTGAGGGCACCTTTGGCAAGCAGAGACTCAACTTGTTTGGTGATAGCATCAGCTTGTGCTGGCTTTAGAGGATACTGAGGTCGACGAGGAGGAAGTGCTCCAGGCAGGAGCTGGACCAAGACGGGGGGTACATGTAAGCGTCCAATATCATCCGGGCCAGTGGACCAAAGTTCTTGGGGGATACGATCCAGAGCACTGGGGGTGTGTGTGACCCGTGCATTCCCTGTATTGTCTGTTAGGTTCAACAGGATGGGGAGTGAGCAGAGCACAGAAGTATCTTTTTGTGATAAGGGGGTTGTTAACTCAACTTGTCCATCTGCAGTAAAGGTTATGGAAGCCTGGAGCCGGGAGAGGACATCAGCGCCTAGGAGGTTAATGGGGCAAGTGGAAGAAACAACAAAATGGGACAGGATGTGTGAACCTACATGTAAGAGCTTGGTAAGGGGGTTACTGCGTGGTGTACCATCCACCCCAACACAGGATACATCAGTGTCAGACAGGAAGGAAGGATCTGGCAGGTCTTGTTCCCTAAGGACACTACGGGCTGCACCTGTGTCAACTAAAAAAGTGGTTGGGTGACCCTCCACGGGGAGAACTACAGTAGCCAAGGGTCCTCCCCCATCCCCTGTAGACACTGCCATAGCAGGGGTTGCTGACACAGGCTTGCCAGTTACCTATTGCAATAGATCAAGGTGGGCCTGATCTGGTCCCTGGTACCGGCGGGAGGGGGAGGGAGGGTTGACAGAATGCATGGGTGGGCGGGATGGACGGAGGGCATGGCGGGGATGAGGTTGGTTGTCTTGGAAGTCATCAGTATCATACCCTTCAGTGGAGGGTGAAGTGTATGCACGGGCCTCTGCTGCAGGGAGCCGGGCTTGGGAGTACTCAGGAGGCAGGGGAGGGGGAGGAGGAGGAGGTAGCTGAGGCAGCTGTGGATGGGGTAGGGCAGGGAGATAACCAGTGGAGGGGAAGTTATAGCTGGTGACATGGGGGTTTTGGTACCTGAGGGTCTGTTGGCGGAGCACTCTAGGGTGTGGGCAATCTCTCCTAAAGTGACCTGGCTGATTACAATTAAAGCAGGTCCGGATTGACGTGACAGTCCGGTCACGGGAGAAAGGAATTGGTGCAGGCAGTGTCGGGGGGGGCTGGGTGAACTGTTGGGGGAGCATCTGAGAGCCCTGGGTTGGACCTGCGATTGGGGTGGAGGTAGCATACATCAGTGGACTAGTTCTACGCTGTGTAGGAAGCATAACAGACTCTAAGCCTTTGGCTACCAACAAGAGAGTGTCCAGTGGAATAATTCTATACTCAGGTCGGGCTAAAACTAAACCCTTACGAATATTTTCCCTAAGCCCTGCCACAAAAGCTGCAGATAGCATCTGGGTGTGTGCTTTGTTGTAAGTACTAAACCCTAAGTCAGAAAAAGTCTGAGTCAACCTAGAGTGGTACTTTTCAACTGTCTCAAGTTTGTCCTGTAGGATATCATTGATGCAAGTAGCCTGATCTGCTAGTTTATCCTGTGCCCAGGCACGAAGCTGTTCACAAAAAATTTCACCAGAACGAAAGTCAGTATCAGAAGTAAGTGGAGCATCATTAAAGCTCCGTTCCATGATTGGCCAGTATGCATCACCAGCCTTTATTTCACATAGACTAATGAGATCCCGCCAAGCAGCGGAGTATGTTTTACGGACCTGAGCCATCCTACGGAAAAAGGGCATGGGGTGTTTTTCAGGATCAGGGAGTGAGGTCACAAGGGTAGCAGCTTGGGAAGGGTTAAAGGTAACATACATAGGCGGTGCACCATCCGCACCATGGTTGATCGGGTTATATCCCTGAGGGATAGTTTGCTGTTGGGGGAGCCTATTCACCCCCAGGTGGGGTGAATTCTGGTCAACCACAACTACCTCTTCGGGCAGCACTGGGCCACGGCGGAGAGTAGTCTCAGGAGTAGCTGTAGCGGGGACAACAGGGAGGGCGGTGATAGGTGAGGTAGCTGGGTGGAAACCCGAGGCCTGGGGGGAGGCACCCATCGCATAGGGCTGGTCAGATGTCCCAGACACCTCGGATCCAACCACCATGATTGGGTAACTAGGACTGGCGGAAGGGACACGAGGGACCAAAGCTGTGGAAGGGGCTGTCACGGGGGCCGATTGGGTTGGGCGTGAAAGGTGGGTGTTTAGGACATTTGCAAGGGCGGAGATTGGATCGGAGGGCTCGGGGATATCGGCAGGAGACAAGGGTGGGGTTGGAGGCTCGGGGGGAGGGGGAGGAGGAAGAGGAGGTACGTCAATGGGAGGTGGCACGGGGATCGCGGAATTAACCAGGGAAGTAACCGCAGTGAAGAGGGCGGATATTGAACCAGGCAGGTCATCGGTCGTGGGTGTGTCAGAGTTCACGGGGGGAGGGGTCAGAGGGACGGGGTCAAGGGGCTGTAGTACGGTCGGGGGAGCAGGGATACTGGGGGGAGATGACACGGGAGAAGGGGCTGGGAGGGTGGCAACGGGGGGTTGGGTTAGCGCAGTGAGGGCGGAGATCAGGGACGGCAAATCGGCCGCGGGAGTGGGAGGCAATGAGGTAGAGGGGGCCGGGGTTTCAGGAGGAGGAGACACTGGAGGAGGAGCTGGAGGGGTGACGGCATAGAGTTGGGTTAGGGCGGTGAGGGCGGAGATCAGGGACGGCAAATCGGCCGCGGGAGTGGGAGGCAATGAGGTAGAGGGGGCCGGGGTTTCAGGAGGAGGAAACACTGGAGGAGGAGCAGTAGGCGGGACCTTGAGGATGGGAGGGGAATCCGTGGGTAAGGGGGCGGAGGCAAGGGAACTGGGACTAGCGGGCTGGACAAGATTCATGAGAGTGGAGACTAGGGGCGGGGGATCCTTGGAAATGGAGGAGGAGGAAAGGGGATGAGAAGGAATGGGGGAAGATGGGGATACAGGGGTAGGGGTCACGGGGATTCCTGAGGATACTGGAGAAGGGAAGGCAACCGGGGGCCGGGGGTCCGGGGAGACGGGGTCAGTTGAGTGGGTAGGAGCGGAGGGCGCAGGATGCAGGATGGATGAAGAGGGTGAGGGAACGGGGTTTACCAGCGACGGGGTACTCAGGGGGGAGAGGGATTGAGAGGAGGAGGAGGATGGGACATCGATAGTTGAGACGGGAATAGTCGGGGGAATACTCGGAGTAAGGACAGGCCCTGGGAAAGGTAACAGGGGGCATGGAGGTGGGGAAGCTCCGACGGGCAAAACAGGATGATGGCTGAAAGGGGGGGATTGGTCACAGGGGGGTTGGTGCATGGGAGTGGGTGGGAACGAGTGGTGTGGCACTGGGAAATAGTAAGCTCCATCTACACCGAGCACGGGACAAAGGGGGGTGGGGACTGGAGATACATCCCCGGGGGGTGGGGTCTGTGCTGTGACGGGGGAAGCAGGGCGGGAGGTTACTGTTGCGCTCTGGGCGCCATCATAGGGTGGTGGCCGTGGAACAATAGAAGTGACATTATCATTGAGAACATTCCTATGGTAAACATGTACAATCTGCCCCTCAAACTCCAACTCTTCCTCGACCCAACCTTCCCGTTTCAGACCTCTAGCTACACGATACCAAGCCTCTGCAACCTTTGTGAGTCCGTTGTCCAACAGTAAACCTTCCTTGTCTATGAGTAGCTTTCGCCAAAACTCTGGCTGCAATCTCCCACTGGGCAACATCTGGAAGCCACACACCTTAGCAATCTTTTTAAGTTTCATCATTGCATCCTCCCCTGCTCTTTCTTTCACAATATCGCAAGCCAACAAGCCCTTAGCAGGTCTAGCATGTTCCTGCCCCATCTTGACTAATCAAAGCGTGCCACTTGTTAAGGACAGGTGAATAGAGGAGGTATAAAGGAGGAGGGGAAAAAAGAGTGTCTACAGTGCTCGACTGCCACGAGAACTTGAGCCCCGTGCGTCTTCCCCAAACGTAGACTAGTCACGGAGATCCGCCCACCCGGGGTGGTGGTCACGGACGGGAGCGAATGAGCGTGGGTGACTAACACAGCTCTGGGCAACAGGCACAGGAGAGATAAAGCACAAAAGAAAAGATGAACGTGGCTGCACTAATGAGAAGACATTTGCAAAAATCACAAACATATAAATGAGCATAAACTCCGGAGTCCAGAACTAACCACACAATACACACACACACACCAAGGGTACCCACGCTGTAACAACAATTGAACAAAAACCACAGAATGACAGAGAGTAAAATGGCCATGTACATATTAATGACACCGGTGCCAAATAATCGAAGTATAGTAATCCTCAGCCTCCACCCACCAGGCTGGTCCCGGTATACCCCCAGGTATTAATGGGAGCACAGTAATGAACAACCAAAATCCCAGCCCCACCGGCTGTAAAATCCCAGCCCTACCAGCTGTAAAATCCCAGCCCCTCCGGCTGTAAAGTCCCAGCCCCACCGGCTGTAAAATCCCAGCCCCTCCGACTGTAAAATCCCAGCCCCACCGGCTGTAAAATCCCAGCCCCACCGGCTGTAAAATCCCAGCCCCTCCGGCTGTAAAGTCCCAGCCCCACCGGCTGTAAAATCCCAGCCCCTCCGGCTGTAAAATCCCAGCCCCACCGGCTGTAATGCGTCCCCTGCCCGCTAGGCAGTCAAGCTAACTTAAAAGAAGTATGAGAAACACGCACACACACACACACAAACGAATACAGGAGGCAGATAGACAATTGACAGGTTCACCTAAAAAAAGGCACACCGGATGAGTTAATTACCTGTCTCTAGTAGCCTTCTGGAAGCCGGAAGTGGACTCGGAGGCAGACCGACACAAAACAGGAGAATAACACAGGCAACGGCTGTATTATGGAGGTGATCAGGCTCCGCTTGTCCCACTTTCCAGAGGTCCGCTCCGGTCCGTTGTTTCCGGCCCTCCGAACCGGCCCTCCGGTGGCCCCACGTTGGGCGCCAATTGAAATGGAAAAATCAATTAAAAGTATTGATTATTTCTTTGTGTATCTGCCCCTGGCCAAATCAATGAAACAATGCGTGCACGCTCCCTGAAGTAATTCACACCAGACACAGGTTCCAGGTTGTTGAATAACTTGAGGAATGTTTATTCAGAGGGGACGGCAGGTCCCTTTTAAAGCAAAATTACATCATAAGCATTGTCAGAGATAACATGGAATAATACATCAATAATTGGTTAGGTGTTAAGTGTTTGCTTCAATGCTCTGCCTACTGTAGGTGATGTCACCGGGGCCATGAGGGTCTCCCACGGTTTCCCGGCGCCATCTTGGTGCACGAGGTAGTTAGTCAATGTTAGGAAGAAGAAAGGGAGGGGAGGGGGAAGGAGCTAGAAGCTTCTAGCAGCCATCTTGATTATAACATGTGTGCTTAGATATATATATATATCGTGAAATGAGTAAATAGACATTTTTCACTAACTAGGAAATATGTGTAGACCTTATTTCCACAACAGACTGAATTAAAATGGCCACCGCCATGTGTTCGTATGTCGAATGGTGGCCACTTCTACTACTTCGGCACTTCGGCTGCATCCGAAGTGCCACTTCAAAAGTGCAGAACTGTACCAGTACCACTTAAAGAGGCAGAAACAGTGCTCCAAAATACAATAGGCACAAATAGAGTTTTTAAAGGGCAATACACCCCAGGGTCCATAGTCACAGGGCAAGAGGCTGGCAAGAAGGCCTCTCCAAAAGCCAGTGGCGAAGGATAGTTCGTCACAGAGCTGTAGTAGGGGGTTATGGGTTAAAGTAGAGTATGGGGGCTGTAGTGGGGACTAAAGGACTGTAGTAGGGTGTAGGGTCTGTAGTAGGGGGTTAGGGGCTGTAGTAGGGTGTAGGGGCTGCAATTGGGGGTTAGGGGCTGTAGTAGTAGGCTAAGTGCTGTAGTCTAAGTTGTCTAAGGAGGGATGCTATGTTTAACTTGCTATGTCTTTCAGATTTCCTTACAAAAGAGTTGATATACACGATACTCTATGGGCATTCCATTGTATCATTCACCTGTCATTCCATAGAAAAGAGCTATAATCCCAGTTTCCGTTAATGTTACAATCCGCTGCTGTACTTGGGGAACACCTGTGGCAAAGTTTAATTTGCTATGTATCCTCTACTTTCGTTTTTGATTTGCCAATATTTTGTTTGTTAGTGCGTTTGGTTTATTTAATGAGGGCGGCTTGTGTCATCTCACTAGTGCGCACTCATTTCTATGCTCCTACTAATCTTTCGTATACGCTTTGGTCATGTAGTTAGGGTGGGGGTGTGGCTAGGGGGGAGAGTTCGGGTTGTCTACCATCTGCTTTGGTTATCCTAAGTTGTTTGTTTGGTGTTGTTCCGCGGCTGAATGAGTCAATTGTTGTGGGTTTGTGACTGTTGTGTGGTTTCTGTTTGGTCTCTGTGGGGGTATTCCTCACTGCGGTCCGTGAGGTTAGTGAAGGTTGTGGTTTGTCTTTTGTTTATCTAGGGAGGGAGGTGTGGGTTGAGGTGAGGGAGGGGGTAGGTGAGTATCTGGTTTACAGTCTCCTCTTTAGGGTTGTCCTCTGGAGATCTGGTCGAGTCTAATAATCTTGGTGTGTGTTAGTTATGATTCAGTTGTGTGGTTTTGATCAGTTAGCGTTTTGCCCTGCGGATGGGGGTAGATTTTGCTGGTGTTTGCCAGTTGTGTGTTATGTCTTGTTTGTTGGGTGGGGTTTGTTTGGATTTCATGGTGCTGATAGGAAAGTGTCAGGTGTGGGTCGCTTGGTTGGGTGTTTGTGTAACGAGTTTCACCTGGTGTGTATTGAGTGGTGGATTAGCCAGGGATCCCATATTTTGTTGTGGTGGTGGGTCGTGTCGTGGATAAGGGCCGAGAGTTTGTCCATTTCCATGGCATCCTTTGTTTTGTGTATCACGGTCTCTATGGTGGGGGTATTTTGGTTGCCCCATTGTTCCGCAATTGTGCTTCTAGTGGCTAGTGCAATATTTGCGAGTAATTTGTTCTGAGACCTGATCAGTGGGGCATGGGGTATCGAGAATAACCAGATCCATGTGTTCATGGGTATGTCTGTGTGGAGGATTTGGGATGCGAGTTCAGCCACTTTTGTCCAAAGGTGAGATATGTAGGGGCACTCCCACCATTGGTGGATGTAAGTACCTTGGGCACCGCAGCCCTTCCAGCATGTATCAGTGTTGGATCGTCCCATCTGTTTTACTCGTAGAGGTGTTAGGTACCGTTTTGTAAGCTTGCTCTTTATGGTTCACACAGATTGTGAGGGACGCTGTTGCTTCCCATATTTTAGCCCAATCCGAGGGGTTGTTCGGGGGGCCAATGTCCCTTTCCCAGAGTCTAGTGTAGGAGATGGCTTCTGTTTGGGAGGTGGAGTTCAGCTGGGTGTATATGGAAGAGATTTGGCCTTTGTGTATTGGGTTGTGCATGCAATCGTGTTCGAATGGGGTCAAGTTGGTAGTCGCTGCGGCTATGTGTCGGGGGTCCTTGAAGAAACTGCGGATTTGTACATATCTAAATTGGTCAAAGGTGGTTAGTGGGGATTGTCTGGGTAGGACTTGAAATTTAAGTAGCTGGTTGGCTCTAAAGAAATGGTAGAAGCGGAAGAGTCCATTGTCCTCGTAGTGTGCGAAGTCTCGGGGTGTCATACCTGGGGGGAATTGCTTGTTGCGTAGAAGTGGTGTGAGTGGCGATGGTTTGTTGATGAGAGGGGTTTTGCGAGTGACTCTGTCCCACACTAGGAAGGATGTGTGTAGGGTCGGGGTCGTTTGTGGGGTGTCCGGTCTTAATAGTTTCGGGAGCCAGAAGAGTAGTGAGGGATGGCCACCATCCAGTAGGTCATGTTCCAAGTCTACCCATAGTTTCTTGCCTGGTGGGGCATGTAAGTGTTGTATTTGTGTTAGTTGGGCGGCTTGATAATAGTTATATAGGTTTGGAAGACCGAGACCTCCGGATTTGGTGGTCTGATACATTGTGGATCTTTTGATTCTGGGTCTTTTGTTGGACCATACGAAATTGTCAATTTTGGTTTGAAGTAATTTAAAGTCTTTTTGGGATATCGGGATGCTAAGTGTTTGGAAAAGGTATAGGAATCTTGGGAGCAGGTTCATTTTTACTGAGGCTATCCGTCCTAGCCATAATATTGGCATAGTGTCCCAACGTTAGAGGTCTGTCTGTGCTTGTTGGATTAGGGGTGTGTAGTTTGCTGTGTATAAGGTAGAGAGGTGTTTGGGGAGGAGAATGCCAAGGTATCGGATATTATCTTCTCTATAGGTGAATGGGTGTGTGGTTTTGAGCTGTCTCAGAGTTGTTTCTTTGATTTCCAATGGTAATGCTTCGGTTTTGTCTAGGTTTAGTTTATACCCCGATAGGGTTGCGTATTCGTCTAACAGTGCTATTAGGGGTGGGAGAGATTGTGTGGGTTTTGTGATCGTCAATAGTATGTCATCCGCATAGGCTGCTATTTTATATTCGTCTCTGTTTATTTTGAGTCCATATATCGATGGGGAGTTTCGTATTTTTTGCAGGAGGGGTTCTAGGGAGAGGGCGAATAGGAGCGGTGACAACGGGCATCCTTGTCTCGTTCCGTTGTGGATTGTGATTGTTGTTGGTGTCGCGTTGGGTATTAGGAGTGTAGCCGTCGGTCGGTGGTATAAGGAGGTCAGGGCTGTGATGAAGGGTTCTGGGAATCCGAACCTCTGTAAAGTGGTGAATAGGTAGGGCCAGAGAAGGCAATCGAATACCTTCTCTGCGTCCATGGAGAGGAGAAGGGTCGGGATTTGTCTGCGTTGGGCCACCCACATGAGGTCTAGGGTACGTCTGGTGTTGTCTCTCGCCTGTCTGGAGGGGATGAAACCCACTTGGTCAGGGTGAATCAATTTAGGAAGGAAGATTTGTACGCGGTTCGCCAGAAGTTTAGTAAATATTTTGGTATCTACATTGAGGAGGGATATGGGTCTGTAGTGTCCTGGGTCGAGGTGCGTCTTGTTTGGCTTTGGGAGGAGGCATATGTTCGAACTCAGCATGTCGTTTGGTAGGGTGTCTCCTTGTAACTGTGAATTGAATAGTGTGGCTAGGTGGGGGATGAGGATGTCCGAGAACGTCTTGTAGTAGAGGCCCGTGAAGCCGTCTGGTCCCGGGCTCTTGTGTGGTTTGATTGTTTTTAGTATGTACGCTATTTCCTCCGTCGTGACGGGGGCCGCTATTTGTGTCTTTGCTTCGTCGGGCAGTGTAGGGAGGGGGATATCTTTCAGGTACGACTCTATGTCTCTTTGATTGGTTGTCTGTTGCTGACATTGGCGTGCTTCTGGTTTGTGGTCGTATAGTTTTGTAAAGTATTTGGCAAAGATAGATGCTATGTCGTCTGGGGTGTCATATGTCGTGCCTTTGGGTGAGTTTATTTTGTCTATTCGTTTTGTTTGTGTTTTGTGACGAAGTTTGCGCGCAAGGAGGGAGTCTGCTTTGTTGGATTTGTCATAGAAGAGTTGCTTGGTCCATATGAGCGCTTTTTGGGAGTCCTTGGACATGTATTTTTTGATGGCTTGTTGATGTGATTTGATCTGTTGGAGAATGTCTGGGGTTGGGTCTGTTTTATGTTGGTCTGTGAGGGTCCGTAGCTGGAGTAGGTGGTGTTTAAGTACCGCCATTTTCAGTTTTTTTAGTCTGGTAGCCTATTCTATTAGTTTCCCTCTGATAACCGTTTTGTGCGCCGCCCATAGCATGCCCGTTGAGGGTACTGAGTCTTTGTTGTCAATGAAATAGTTCCCTAGTTCGGAGCGTATTGTCTTTCGTATGTCTGGATTATGGAGTAGGGTGGGGTTTAGGCGCCATGTCCACGTCCGGGTCGTGAGGGGGATCTGCAGTTCGAGTGTTATGTCCGCATGGTCTGACCATGCTATATTGCCTATAGAGGTGTTTGTCGTCAGGGGGAGTAGGGAGAGGGAGATTAAAAACATATCAATTCTAGAGTAGGAAGAGTGTGGGTGTGAGTAGAAGGTGAAGTCCGGTGTGTCGGTATGTTGCAGTCTCCATACGTCTTGGAGACCTGTGTGGAGTGCAAAATCTGCTATTGATTTGTCCAGTTTGGTGGGGTATTTGGTGGATTTTGTTTTAGCAGTCGTGGCCCGTTTACGGTCTATAAGGGGGGACATGACTGCGTTGTAATCTCCCCCTAGTATTATGTGATGTGAAGCAAATAGTTTTAGGTGGGCTTTGAGGGTTGTCCAGAAAAGCGGGTCCGGTTTGTTGGGCGCGTATATGGTTGAGATAGCATATCTGTGGTTCCCCAAGTTACCTGTTATTGTCAGGAACCTGCCTTGTGGGTCTGCTATTGTGTTTTTGAAGGTTATCGGGCAAGATTTATGTAGTAGTATTTCCACCCCGTTGTATTTGCCAGTTTGGGAGTTCGCTAGGTGGCATGTCATGTAGTTCTTGTTTTTAAGGGGGAAGGATCTGGTTTCTTCAAAGTGTGTTTCCTGAAGGAGGATTATGTCTGCCCTCGTGCGGTTCGCCCAGCGCATCAGTTGATGCTGTTTGGCCGGGTTATTTAGGCCTTTACAGTTAAGTGATATACATGAGATTGTCCTAGGCATGGTGTGTAGTGTGCGGTCTTCGGAGTAGTTGGTGGTAGACCTGCCGGTTTGGTTCTTCCTATTCGGGGGGGGTTGGGTGGGGGTATGGGATAGGTCGTGGGATGGACGGTAGGGTGGATAGTATGGGGTCGGGGTAATGGGAGTGGGGGGTTGTGGTGAGAGTGTTTCCTGGTCTTACAGTTCAGTTGCCAGGTGTGTTGGAGGGTTAGTTGGTGCCTGTGTTATGTATGCATTGTGCCCCTTAGGGGTTCGTCTTTGTGTGTGTGTGTGTCTGGGAGAGAGGAGGAAGGTTTTCACGTTCCCTTTACCTCTCACCGTTAGCACTGCGTGTGGTGTATTACTCGCGGTTTCTGCAAGGTGAGAGTCTTTCAAGTCACCGTGAGTAGTCCCTTTGTAGTTGTCGTGTCTGGGTTAGAGCTGTGAGTGTTTGTTTCGGGTCGGAGGGTTGCGCTTGGGTTTGGTGGGAGTGAGAAGTTTCTGCTGTGGGGTCCAACGAGGTTGGATCAATCTGAGACTGGAGGCGCTTGTGCCATAAGTTGTCACGGTAGCTTTCGTAGCTAGTTATAACATTAAGAGACATTTATATTCAACATAATGAGATGGGTAAAACATAAAGAACAGTATCAAACTTTTAACTTTGAGAGGCATTAACAATTCACTTCACAGTTCCTTTAGCCTTGTGTCTAAGTCTATGGGTCTGCGGGTCCCTGTCCCTAAGGTCTGAAATTGCTGTAGAGTGCTGTAATGCGCTATTTGTCTCCGTGTGGCATTACCTGTATGTGTGTAGGCTGGTCTCGGTTACCCCCCCTTGGGTGGCGGTCAGTATTGGTTCGGTGGTCATTGTGAGATCGGGTCATGGAGTTTCTGTGTGAGAGGGAGGCGTGTTTGTGTTATTTACATGTGTTGTCTTGGGTTATGTGGCCCAGTGGTGTATGAGGTCGAGGTAGCGTTGTCCCCTTAATTTGGTTCAGGTGTTTATGTGTCCGTGTCATTTGTGTTCCCTCTGTGACCTAAGGGGGGTGGGTGTATCTGTGTGTGCCCCTATGTGTCTAATTGGTGTCCCCTGTTGGTGTTGTTGAGTGTGTGGCTGTTGTGTTTTCCCCCTAAAGCTCATATTCTATTATACTTGCAACAGTTCATGGTAGTCTTTAATTTTCTACAGTTGGCGTCTTGCAGCGGTGACAGGATTTCGAGAGCCAGGGTGGGTACGTTCGTGTGGTTGTTCCTCTGTGGGGGCCTGCGCCCTGTTCTGTTGGGGCAAAAGTGGCGGGCATAGGCCCACTGGAGTGTGGTAGCCACGAGGGTGGGGGTGGTGTATGTTGACCCGTATCCTGGCTGGAGTGTTCGGTTTGGAGATAGGTATCTGTGTCGTTTCCTGCTTTGGGTGGATGGTTGTCCTTGGATTTGTTGATGGTCGAGCAGATGTTTGCGATTTCATTTGTTGGACCGTGGTGGGCCTACAGAGGATATCTGCTGTTCTGTTTAGTTGGACCTAAGATTGGTAGGTCATCGCTGGTTTCGTTTGTGAGCGTTGGGGAGTCCAGCTTGTACATGGGTCTATGGAGTGGAGGATAGTGGAGGAGGCCTGGGTCCTAACTATCATATTAGGTTTATCTCCGTTGATTATGGGTGGCAGGTGGGGGTGAAAGTGGCCCTCACGGCATCTGGGTGGTTGCAGGTTGAGGTAGCGTGGTTGGTGGGCCCACAAGTTGCGAGTGAGTGTGCACGGGAACTGTGGGTGCCGGGTACCGGGAGGCGCGGTGGTGGGGCTTCTGCGGGTAGGGGTGTTTCTGGGATGGGTGGTTTACCTTGTAACAGTGGTGAACCCGTTTCGGTGTGTTGGGATGGTGGTCAGTTCGAGGAGGTGTCCAGGTCCGCCTCCTTCTGTTGCGACGGAGTCAGTGTTTTCTTCTTTTTCAGTGGGTGTTGCGCTCGTGGTTTGTCCATGTATCTATGGTCGGGCCAATTCCGGTTCGGCAGGGCCTGTTGCACCAACTGGATACCCAGTAACTCAGCAAAGGGCTCCATTTCCACCGGGGAGAGAAGAGTGTGAGTTTGGTCGTCTTTTTTTACCATCAATTTAAAGGGGTGTCCCCATGTATATTTCATGCCCTGCCAGGGTGAGGGGTTTTAAGTCCCTTCTTTTCTTGAGTGTAGATGGTGCAAGGTCCTGGAAAAAGGTGAGGCGGTATTCCTGGTATTTAGATATTTTGTGTCTGGCTGCCTGGAGTAGTTTTTCCTTAGCTGGGAAGTGGTGTAATCTTGTGATTATGTCCCTTGGGGTAGCTGGATTCAAGCTGGGAGGTCGTAGGGCTCGGTGTGCCCTGTCCATTTCCAATTCCCTCTCTGTGAGGTCTGGGGCTAGTGCTTTGAAAATGTCTGTGAGAGTGGGAATAATTCGGTCTGGGGTGACCGATTCGGGTAGGCCCCGGATCCGTATGCTGTTCCTTCTCGAGCAGTTATTGAGATCTTCGAGGTTGTCCTCCAGGTTTGCTATTCAGCCGTGGAAATATGCTATATCTTGGGCCTGCTCGTTGGTGGTAAGTTTTGCGATGTGAGTTTCCGCGAGGTCGGATCTGTGGGCAAGCGCGGTGACATCCGCTCTGAGGCCTACTAATTGCTTATTGATCTCAGCCGCCACATGTGTTTTTATGTCTGCTGTGGCCTCATGGAGCATTCCTCTCAGGATGCTTATAGTGAGAGGTGCCGTGGGGTCCGAGCTGTGGACGTAATCCTCCGGTTCCGATTCCTCGTCTTCATCCCGGCGTTGAGGATTGATAGGCCGTTGCGAGTTGTTTGGCGTGCGGAACATTGATGCCACCGAGGGGGTGAGTTCTTTCTTTTTTTTTTCTCCGCCCATGCTATGTGGTGTTGGGGAGGGTAAGTTGTGCCGTTCTGGTTTATTTTCGGGGTCCGGGTACAAAGGGAATTGCTGATGTTAGCGGATGGTAGTGCCTGGGAGAGAGGGAGCTCAGGGATCAAGCATCCATCTTCCTTCGCGGTCAGGCTCCGCATTATTATATAACATTAATAATTAGGGAGAAATATTATAGATATGGGTTTGTACTTGCTAAAAAACAAAGCTTGAGCTTTGAAATTCGAAAAATTTAATTTTTTTATGTTATTTTACATTCATCAGTAGTTAAGTAATATCTGTATTTATTATATGTGTGATATCATCAAGTGCATTCCTAGTTAGTTATACCTGTTAATAAGAAAATGTGATTCCATATTACAGGTGTCCCAGCTCTTACAATCACAGTATGGATTAAAACCAGAATTACATTTGATGATACAGGGTAAGTCAAAGAGAGTGACATTGTGTCAGTAGATCAGAGAAGAGATATGACATTAACACTGGTGAGAACTCAGTATAGGTAAAAACATATGTTTAAATCCTATGACTACAAAACTCATATTAAGAGTGCTTAGACTATTTAAAACACTGACTTCAAACCAAGACAATATATTGTGCAGTTTGTTGTATATGTGAAGTTTAACCCCTTAAGGACCAAACTTCTGGAATAAAAGGCAATCATGACATGTCACACATGTCACGTGTCCTTAAGGGGTTAATCTACCATTGACTTTGTATAAAGCTACATGCATTTTCATAAACTATTCCCTTTAATAATACTCACATTATTGGCCTTGATTTAATATTTTTTGGATAATATTTTCAAATGATTTCATATTTTTGGAGAAACTTTTAATTTTTTTTTTAATCTAAAAAAAATATATCATATATTAAAAAACGAATTATATGAAAATACCAAAATATTTAGATGTTTAAAAAAAATTCAAAAAAAATTCATCATTTTAAATGTTTATCAAAAAATATTAAATAATTTGAGCATCTTTTCCAAAATTATTAAATGGAGGCTTATATCAGAAACTACAATTAACTGCTATATTTATTATCATCGACTGATTGGCCACATTTCTTCTTTTCAGATGCTGGGATGATTTTGAGAACATTTATTGGTGGATAATCAAGACCCCGATACTGTTTGCAATATTTGTAATTATTATTATTTATTGTGGTAGTGTAAAAAAGTTAAATCTAATGTCTGATTTTTCGAGGGAAAATCAATAAAAATCATTCCAATATTAGATAAAATAATATACAATATGGTACCTGCATTAAAACCGTAAAAATATGTGTTTTTTCAAGGCTCACATCCCCCATCATCCCAACTGTTTTATAGGTCAATTTACTAAATGGTAGTAAAACCACTTTAGCTGAGTAAGTGAGTTAAATCCAGTAGTCAGTTTATAGATCTGTGATATTTACCATCAACATTTAACAAGTTTGTTTCTCAGCGTAGTCTGTTGAATCAGCTTAGGTAATTTCCCGAAGTTCAGACTTTGCACAGTGACACTTTATTGCTCGTTGCAGATGCCAATCTTGAAAATGCAAACAATAAAATAAAAAAATGCTGGGGTCTGTGAGACCCCGAAATATGATAATAGAGGTTAAATAGTATTAACCCTTTCAGTACCACTGCGAAGAGCTATGAAGAGTGTGTGTGTGTGTGTGTGTGTGTGTGTGTGTATATATATGTATGTATGTATGTATGTATATAGACATACTGGGTGTAGGCCCCCACAAGTGGTGCCTTACCATCTTCCACCCAATGGACTGTTGTATAGACTATAAGACTTTAATGGGCTGAGGGCTGGGCACCTAATGGCCCATAATTTGTTTATAGGACCAGGAAATGCACTATCTTTGACCATGAATATTTACTGAGTTGCCACGGGGCTTCATGCCCTCTAGCCCAGTAAAGAAAGAAAGTTCCAGGGGATGCCCACTATCCTGAACCAGACCCCTAAAGAACTTCAGCTTGATGGTTTGTTTAGCCCAGTGAAGCTAAACTCAACTGGCAGCAATTGCTCAGAGCACCTGCATTGCAAAGACTTCTCATTGAGCTGCATTGGGAAGTCTGTGATTGGACAGCCACAGAAAGTCTGGGCAGGGTTAGAAGGGGAGGGCTTGCTGAGTCTACAGACAAGAGATCTGCAGCTATTGTAAGCTGTTTTTAGATACAAAATGCATAATTTAATGAGTGCATGTTTTCATCAGGGGTATATACCATACAGTGATTTTTAATTTTTTAATTTTGGCAGTAGAGTGTCCCTTTAATGGTACCGTGGGCCACTCGATACCCAATCCATTAGAAATATCATTGACTGCCTACTTTGGGAGATTTGTACTAGGGTCCCCACTCCATTTTCTACTGATAAATGTATTAATTTACTCCTTCTGTGGTTTACCCTAGGTAGACCGCTGACCTATAGAGCCTCTCGAATAATATACCCTGGGTACAGAATTGAAGACCTCTTTATATAATTATAAGTATATCTCATCCGTGCTACACCTAATGCTAGTATTTTTTTTTTATTTCATACTCCAGCTTAACTTCATCATATTTCTGAATGTCATAAGGATACTAATCCAGAAGATCCGATGCACAGAGATTGGGAAAAACTACAAACAACAGTACATGTGAGTAATAAGTCAGTAAGAACTGATGGTGCTTCTCCATGCTTCCCCTTTCAGATGCGCTCCATTTGGCCCACGTACTGCAAGGCAGATACAGAGTGGAGATGCAGTTGGAAGAGGAAGCACGGATAAGAACAGGGCTGGGGAAATACATCAGACTGTTCAATAGTACTGTGCTTGTTATGTGTGTATAAAAGCCTATCGACTTCCACCAAGAAACTATGTAAGCATCTTTATTATTTACCAAGCACCGTTTTAATAACAGAGTTAATTACTAATGGAGAAGTGTTGCGAATTCAAAGTGAATTTCAAATTTAAGTTTATGATAGGAAAACTGAAAACAGAATCAAGTTGAAGAATTTTCCAAATTTGGCTGTTATGACCTAAATTTTGAAATTCGGTTTGAGTTCACCATGAATTCCTGACAATTCTCCTTTTGGTGAATAACCCTGTGATTTATTTCTCAGTCACCCTGAGTTTTTAAGTTTTAAAGGAGAAATACACTTTCTCTACATTTAAATAGCAGCATATAAGTTTTTTTTTATTTATTTTTTTCATGTGGTTGTCAATATACCTCCAAACTGTATGTTTCTGTATTGGTTTTTGTGTTTTAAAAATTAGCTGTCTTTGTGTGGTTTACGATCCTTTGGATCACCAGCAATTTTGAGGTATAGAAGTGTTTGCAAACCTTCCAACATTGAGCGATAAGGATTTGTGGGCGACAGTGAGGGGGGCTTTGCCAGTGATGTGACTCGTGTCGGTGGTGATAAGCATATTGGGCGTGTCCAATCGGAAAAGACTGGGAAAGAGGGACGGGCCCAAAATCAGAAATTGGGACTGTCCCAATAAAAAATCAGGACTGTTGGGAAAGCAATGTTTACTGGGCTATACAAGATATGGGGGCATTTTTCACTTAATAATGATTTTGTCTTATATTGAACTAACCGTTTTACTTTATTCCTGACCGTTTTATTCCTGACCGTTTTACTTTATTTAATTTTTTTGTTTGTTTGTGATCCCTATTAACTAAATAAATACCTAAGTAATGTAAAAGGGTGCACCTACCCATACTTTGTTAATTATATTGCAACCAATTCTGAGTTTGGTTATAGACGAAGGTGTGATTGGGAAGGTATTGTGAAGCAAAGTGTTCTATTGTCCAGACTATACTGCACCATAAACAATGTTAAATAGTTTTTTTATTTTTCTGTTTTCAAACTGCGCTGACAATCTTAGTCAGTAGGGGGCCCCATATATCTCTCCTCACAAGGATTGAATTTAAATGTTCCAGTAGCCAAGGATTTAGACCTTTAAACCAACAGCTGTCTGTGTGTAACCACTTAAGTCAGTTATGAGTCCATTTTCTAATCTATACTGTATATCAAATGTTCTCGCATAGAGGCCATGGCTGCAGGTGAGGTAATTAATAATCTTGCCAAGGCTATTTACAACAGAAATGCTAAAACTATAGAAACAGAAAAGTAACCGCAGCGTGCAATATTTGTGTTTTGAAAATGTTTTTTATTTCATTTTTTTCACATTCATGACAAAGCAAAGCTTTGTGTTAGATACTCCTTTCCCTTTAAAAAGGGCAGTCAGGGTACAATGGAGGGTTGTTGTGTTTTCACTGTGTCACATGTCTTGAGCTTAGAAATAATGTTGGCTCTACATTCTAGAATCTAGATGTTGCATGGGTCTTTGTGCTACATTAAGGTTCTGATGTCCTAAACGTGAGGTAATTTTTGTTCATTTTTGGATCCGTAAGGATCCATTGGGGAAAAGTATCAGGAATAATGTTGCAAGTAGCTGAAGTTATCCTTTCTTAATTTTTATTCCAAATTAAATGTGCCAATAACACCAATGGTAACTGACCACTCAACATTTTTGGTGGGTACTTTGAAGGCTCATCTCCCATTACTGACATGCAGCGTGGGATCCATGATGTCTCACTGTTCCAGGCATCTCAACTATGATTGAGAGTAGAGATGTCGCGAACTGTCCGCTGACCGGAGTTCGCCGCGAACGGTTCGTGGCGAACCGCGGCGAAACGTTCGCGAGAAGTTCGCGGACGGTTCGCGACATCTCTAATTGAGAGGGACAAAATTAATATGGCCACCACAGACAAATGTGATGTTAAACAGCCTTATTCACATACAATAAGTCCCAGTGTTGCACTAAGAGGGTTAATCAATAAAGTGAGAATTCAAAGAGAATTTAAAATTCCAGGCCAAAGTAGCCAAACTGGAAGTATGAAGTTGACTTTGAATTTTTAGAATTTTTCCAAATCTGCTATTTTAGCCTTAAATTTGAATTTCACTTTGAATTTTCACTTCAGTGAATACATTTGTAAGATTTTGGGGCACACCAGCAAATGCCCTTATTCACCAAAGTGAGAATTCAAAGTGAATTCAAAGAGAATTTTAAAATTTAGGTCAAATATCCAAATTGGAAAAAAATCTATTTTATTGCCAATTTGACTATTTTGGACTTCAATTCAAAATTAACTTTGAATTCCCATCAATTCTCACTCTGGCGAATAACCCTATGTGTTCTCAGCACTTTGCCTTTACAAAACTGAGCATATTCATAATCCCTAAAATACGTGAGAATTTGTAAAAGATACTGAATGTGTTTTTTGTTTTATTATTGCACAGTAAACAATTTTAAGGAGTCAAATTACCTTTAGTTTTCAATGTCCTTGTTCTTGAGTGATATACATAGTAGTCGTATAATAAAAGTAGTACACGAAGATAGACCATTCTGTAAAATAATGAATTAATACAACAATGTTCTGTTGTCTCCCCAGCCCCCAGCAGCTCTGTCCTGAATTCCCACGGACTGTAACAGGCTGTTACAGTTCAAGGGAAAATAATAAAAGCACATGGCCAGCAAGTTGCCGGGACTGTCCCGGGAAGGTGATTTACCTGGGACAGACTCCAGTTTGCCAGGACTGTCTCGGCAAAAACGGGACAGTTGCCAAGTATGCTCTGTGTTTACTGGTTGATTCATACATTCACTCATCCGTTCTTCAAATTGAGAAAATACTAATTTCTTTTATTGTCTCCCTTAGGAGATTAGCCAAATCTACTCTTCTTCTCATCCCTCTCTTTGGAGTACATTACGTAGTCTTTGCTTTTTTTCCTGAGCATATCGGAGTTTGGCCGAGGCTGTATTTCGAACTTGTTTTAGGATCCAATCAGGTACATTTTCAATATATATATATTTATCTCACGTCACGCTGTTTTGGGAAGTCAAAACAAGATAGACATGTTGGCTTTAGGGAGAATGGCTGATAGCATGGCTTAGGGGCTGACTATTCACACATAAAGTACCCCCTTAATATAATGTCTGCTTGCTAGGGATAAACATAAGGGGACTATCCACAACAACGTTTAAAAATTACCATGTGAACTGCTCATATAGCAGATTTACAGTATTCACAATCTAGATAATTTGTTCTTTGTTTAAATTGCGTGATGTATAGAGAAACAGGAGTTGACCCAGATAGATATACATCTCGTCTGCCTATGGGCACAGGGTTCGCACAAAAAAATTGCACAAAAAAGGTTCTTTGTGAATACATATGCATACATATATATATATATATATATATATATTTAAATGGCATCTGTAGTAAGCGAGTATATTTCTGTGTTGCTGTGTGATTGCTAAGCTCAAGGTGGATGCAGTGTTCATGCAATGAGAAGTGGTAACATTGGGGAAGATTTACCAAGGCAGTGGAATGTTTCTCAACATTTACCTCCATAGTACCATATTTGTCTCATGTTTAATTTATCCCCCTCCACCCCCCGCTATGTCACATGTGTCATGTTGTCCACGTTGAGTATTTTCAATGCAGCACTGTCCGCCAATATTCATATAACCACCCAACTTTGCATATTTGCGATATTCATGTCCATAAGACTTATTCTCCTCTCGTAGCCATATACAGCCTTGTAGGTATATTTCTTCTCCATGTTTGTATATCTCCTTGAAGTCGTATCTTTTGGGAGCAGGTAATTGGTGGTTTAATGCCAAATAAGAGATTCAATTTAAAGGGGTTTTTGGGACACTATAGTCACCAAAACAACTTGAGCTTAATGAAGCAGTTTTGGTGTATAGATCATTTTGGTGTATAAACTGCTTCATTAAGCTAAAGTTATTTTGGTACTACAGTAATGGGCATTCATAAAAATTGGTGTCTAATTGGCAGAGATAAACCCCAATCACATGGATCTTAGGATATTTTCCCAGAAGTCTATCGATAAGTTGTCATACCGAGAATCTGAAAGGTAAGCCCACAGATTTCGCAGTTATTTTGACTAAGTGATATGAAACACTGCTTTGTATGTACTGTAATTGGTCGTCTATGTTAATGAACTGTGCATAATTTTACTGTTTATTGACACTGCAGGGTTTCATTGTGGCTTTGCTGTACTGTTTCCTGAATGGAGAGGTGAGAACCATAAAGACATTCTCCCAGTGAGTAATTCATACTTGCTCACATAATAAAAACAAGCAAAATCATATAACATTCATGTGTGTATGTTGTCTGTGTAGAACAAGCATTGACACTCAATAATCAATTTACTAGCTATACCAATTAATTTACGGGATTTTCTTATACAGAAGGCATGGCAGGAATGTAGTGCTTTGTCAAACTCCCCTTCTGTGAGCATTCAGTCAAGATATCACATCTAAGGACGTACGCTAAAATTCCAACCGTGATTCTATCAGTCAGCATTTCATTTTGCTCTGGTGATTGGAGCCTCAAAATGGCTCCCCTCTCCCTCCTAGTCTTCTCTGATTGGTCTATTTGTTTAAAGGCCCCAAAGTGAATCTGACGTGGCAGATTCACTTTAACTGCAATACCCCTGCATTAGCAATGCATCACTCAGCCTAGGGATGCTTGGCATTTCTGATTGCAAGGTTGCAATAAAGCAGCTGCTTAAACTCTATCTAGTGCTGCTATAATCTGGGATTTGTGGGTGTTTTACTATTGTAAAATTTACGCCAGCTTCTGCCTACATCCCGCCCTCTGCCTCATGATTGCCCCTTCTAAAAAATACTTTCCCAGGTATATTTTATATAAAAGAAACACTAGAGTTAACCGTTTAGTAGATTTACCCTTAGTGCTGAGAGTAACCCAGGTAAAATGTAACTTTTAATAAATCATTTAAAATATTCAATTTTAGGTCCTTGATCAAGGGTATAATTAATATCTACAATAGGAGAATAGATTCCTACAGAAATCTTTTTATAATAATAGATAAATAGTCAAAATATGAAAATAAATCAAATGTAATGAAAAAAACTCAAAATCAGCAATAACTAATAAATAATTGATTATGTGATGGCTTTATAATCACACCATTCATTGCAATGTGTGAAAAAATAATAATAGATATTGGCTGAAGATAAAGTAACAAAGGATAGAGGTTACATTTGTTGCATAACCAATTAGCCAGGAGGGGAGAGACACAACATAGTAACAAATCTGATACCAGAGCTGGGAGAAAGCCCTGCAGGAAAAGTTGGATATAAATGCTGCCTTCCCTACTCTGCTCTGCCTTCGAGGGCACCCCTTAAAAAATTGCTAGTTCCCCCACTTCCTCTAAGATGTCCTGCCTAGTAGCCTATAAATAGCTAAGTAGCTATAGAGGTCTCGTCGGTCTAGTCGGCTATAACGGTTAGTAACCAGAGTTGGAGATAAATAAAATCTAAAATCTAACAAGTGAATAAATAAAGTATGGGTTGTAATGTCATTAGGGTATTGGTGCATATCGTCCCATATTCCTTAGACCAACACCATACTGTATAACGTCCCATAAAGATTAACCATTTAATCCTATACAGTAACTAGTCTTTACCAGACCATCCAGTTATCCAGAGGCTTACGCTCTACATATAAACCACCCATCAAGTCATTATAGAGACACCCATTTACCTTTGCATTAAAATAAATTTAATTGAAACACTTAGTTGGGTGAGGTGTACATCGAAGGAAACCATTAAAAATACTTAACCAAGTTGTGCTTGAGTTAAATAGGTGACACATTGTTCCATATTGGAATGGGTGTGAATACCCTTCTCACACATTGAATCATGGGATGAGAATTAAAAGATGCCAGGGCGTTCTGCATTTAGTAAATGTGGCGCAAAGTAATAGTTTAGCTATCCTCACAACAAGGACATTTGTGCTGAAGGATTAATTGCATTTGGTTATTGTGATGTTGTATTTAATTTGTGTAAACAGTGTTTCAAATGTATTCCCATACAGGTACAAACAGAGATTCAGCGGCACTGGAGCAAGAGGCAGAGTACGTTAGAGAGCAATGTCTTCAATCTGGTGACCCAAGATTTTACGGCATAATCTTCCATCAGTGTGATCTAGCCACAATTACATCACATGTCCTAGTTGAGTATTTATAGAATTATTTATAAACTGGGCACTCACAAAGTATGCAATTACATAGTGTAATTGCTCACAATTATAATTATTTATATTCAAGTGAGTAAGAGAATGTATATTACCACAATTATCTGTGACATTCTACATTCATCGAAAAAGCCAAGCACACCTCTCTTACAGTGGTCAGTGTTTTGACCCACATGGGGTCCTTAACAAGCCAGGGCCATTGCGCCCTGTGAGTGAGTGCTGGCTGGTTTTTATTGCTTATGTCATTGTACCTTGAGCAATATTTTGTCTCCCAGGGTAGGACATCTGTGGGTGATTTGGTGGTGTTACGTCACCTCTACCCCAGCTAGACTTAGACCTGTGAGGTTATTCTGAATGATTACCATATGGAGAGCCACTACATTTGATACATGGTATATTATTTCTTTATTTCTTATAAAAGATGTTCTAAATAAAATAGCAATGTTCCATTTATTCAATGTTTTGTTTCATTTGTCATTTCTATTCATTGAAGATAATCTGAGATCTTTTCAACATTATATTAATTCTATCTATCTATCTATCTAGGGGCCAACGAGACAAACAGGGGCTGGGAAGGGTTAAAAGAGACAGGCATGGGCTGGGTACCCAGAGGGTCTAGAGGAAAAAATCCAGAGGAGTTATGGGATGAAGAGACAAGGTGCTGGGGAAAGAGACACACAGAGGGGCTGGCGGGGATAAAGATACATAGAGGGGATAGGGAAGGGGAGG